CCTATATATTATATAGTCCCTTCCCCTGCTTTTGCTGTGGGCGTTCCCATATTTTGATTAAATATTATTATTTTTTTTTAGATATGATATATCGCATATCGATAACAGTCAGCATAAATAAACACATTGGATTGATTAAAAAGCAATCAATTGAAGATAAAGTAATCGGTTAGGCACAAATTCCTACATTTTATCTAGCTGTTTTCTTTTTTTAGGTTTTCTGTTCCTGGTTTTGCGCGATAACGTCGGGCAACTATCTAGTAAAGTAAAAGTATTTAATTCACCTTACCCGGGTATATCGGGTAGGATTTTATACCCGGATATATCTGTTGGTCACCCGGGTAACCCGCCGGGTATATCCGTCAGATAACCGGTAGCATTTTTTCAATTGGGTACCATCACTATATGAGAGTACATTGCTACAGGCCTATGAGAGAATAATAAAATAAGGCAATATAATAATACTATTTAGCAATAAGTATGTCAATACTAATAAAACATAAAAATGAAGTAAGTTTCATTTCTACTTGAAAGTTAAAGTGAAGAGATCAATTCAGTCTGGCCAGTAAGCCCCAGCTCTGAGTATAATAATATATTAGAGTAGTAATGATACAAGATTTAAACCAAATAAAATACTACAAAAAACTAAAACACTATAAAAAAGCTATAAGACCCAGAATATTAAATAGTTTAACAGTTAACCCTAACCTCTAGTATAAGCCATAATGAATATGCAAGATGAATTTGTAGTAGGAAATTTAGAAAACAAACAATAGGGCAAAAAAAACAAAAATTTAATTTAAATTCATTTGAACCCAACACATTCGCACTTATAGTAAAATTTATAGGATAAATGTATATGCCGCACCCGGCGATGTGCTAATTCATCACATGCATATAAATTATAATTTGTAAATCTGTGTCAAAACAATTTTGTATAAAAATTAATTAGATTGAGATTAGGGTTAGGGTTAGGACTAAGGTTGGGGTTAGGTAGAGTTAGTATACTTGGGTTTAAATCAACCCAAATTAGATTCATTTTGAACTCAACCTAGGTTCAAGTAAACCCAAGTTAGGTTTACTTAAACAATATGAACCCAAGTTAAAATCACTTAAACAATATGAACCCAAGTTAAAATCACTTAAACAATATGAACCCAAGTTAAAATCACTTAAACCCAACACAGGTTTAAGTAAATCTACGTCAGGTTTACTTAAACCAACATGGGTTCAAGTAAACCCCAGTCAGGTTCACTTGAACCAACCCAGGTTCAAGCAAACCCAAGTTGGGTTCACTTGAACCCAACCCGGGTTCAAATGATTCACATAAACCCAAGTTAGGTTTTTTTAAACCTAAGCCGGGTTCAAATGATTCACATAAACCCAAGTTAGGTTTACTTAAGGTTCAAGTGAACCCAAGTCAGGTGTACTTGAACCCAATCTGGGTTTAAGTGAACCCAAATCATTTATTTAAACCCAATCGGGTTCAAGTGAACTCAAGTTGAGTTCATTTGAACCCAATCTGGGTTCAAGTAAACCTAATCTGAGTTTAAATAAACCAAGTCAGGTTTATTTGAACCCAAATCATATAAAAAATTTAAAACCTTGACCCCAGGACTGAGAGCTAGTCCATAATATATAAACTGTTTTCTCGTTTCAATTTATCATGTCACACTTAATATGATCGATAGGTCATATGTAATCTAAAAGAATGAAATTTTTTTTTCAAAATTATAAAACATTTCACAAATTTAGTTAAAGATGGCTTACATGATTTCATTTCGAAATCGCAATTACTTTTACAATAAGTTATAATGAGTTTCGGAATCAATGACTGGGCTTCTGATTTTGAATAAATGGATGATCTATTTATTTCGAAATGAATGGTATATTAATTCTATTTGATAATAGCAATCGCATCATAAAAATTGAAAGGTTTATAGATTTTTTAATAGAACATCTACTTCATCTCCTGACTTTGAAACTTAGAAACACTTTTTAAGCTTCTATTTATTTTCAAAATAAGTTAATTCAATAAGAGATGAAACCTTAGATGACGAAGTAATATCGTGTTGATACAATATTAGTTAGATTTTGTGCCAAGACCTTGTTTTGCCATGTACAATTATGTTTACACTTTCATAAGTCAAAAAATTATAAAGGTTGTCGTCAAATGAAAACCAGTAAGTCTAAATATAGAATGATATTTATATTTAGACATACTGTTTTTATTTGAAGACATTTTATGTATAAAATTAGCGCTAGGTGCTGATTTCTTTTTTTAGTAACATTTCAAACTTGCGTATTAATAGTACAGTATATAGTATGTGATAATTTAGGGTTAGCTTTAGGCAAAATACGCCAAAACATAATTTTCGAATTAGATCATTATTGGCAAATTAATTAAAAATCAAGTGATTAATATTAAATTACTAAATAAGTAAATTCAAGAATCACGCTATCACTCACGTTACATAATCATTACGTACAATGTAACGTAAATACAGAAATAGATATGCTTATCCAAATATAAATAATTTCAATATTATTGTCTTTTGATATCGCGTAGTAATTAATCATGAAACCCAAAGGAACTCGCTCTCTTACGGCTTGCATTCAATGTAGGAAAGCAAAAATAAAATGCACTAACTTCAATTCCAATGTTGGATGTGATGAATGTGAAAAACGTCAATTGAAATGTATAATGGATCCATACCGTAAAAAACGCGGTCCGAAACCAAAGATCCACATCATGCCTACTTCACAACTGCCAAATACAATTAACTTTGATTCAAAGGTTAATACTCTCCTGACAGTTTATTTTAGCAATTTTATAATACTCAAGTCACTTAATACGTAGGTACCTGGATTAAATGAAGCATACAATTTTGGGAATAACATGATATACGATATCCA